TGAGTCCAATACGGAGCACACCTGAAGCTGGACTGTCAACAGGTGTTTCTGAATCACCTGGTACTCCAGTGTCCACTCGGAATGTGCTTCCCAGGGCACGTCGATTGCCTTCCCATTTGAAGGGTTTTGCACTTTACTGATTGTTAAATGTTCTCTGTACTTGGTTTTGTTATGTGCAGGGTTAATTCATGTAACAATGGGAATATTAATGCAGAGTTTCTTGATATACTGAATCCTTATGGGCCTATGTGATTTATGTTGCATTTTTGTTAAACGTCTCTTTGTGCGTTTTGGTCCTTTTGATACAGATTTTGGGTAATATATTGTTTGGACTTTTATGTCTACATTTTGTTTATGCCATATATGTATAAGGGTTGTGTTAGAAATGAGGACATTTCTTGTTGGGTAAGGGAGTATTATGTAGGGAGTTAAATTCAAGGTTAACATTAATGTTCTATAACTTTAAATAAGATCTAGAGGTAATATCGCGAGAACGGGGACCCGCGATTAGGATCGCGGGAGAAAATGATCGAGAGAGTTGTGAGAGCGTAGAGAGAGAGATGACACGCTCTGTGTAATCGGATGTGGCTGATTCATGATGTTTACCTCTTCATGTTTAATAAATCAAGTGTTATGATTTGCCGAGCTCCCTGTCGGTGTCCTCCTTAGATCAAAGCCAAGAACCCACGAGCCAGAGCGTGGTAAGAACTGTGACGCTCATATATAGGAAGAACACGCGTTACAGTATTTATAAAGCATATGTTCTGTATGACCATATTCTACATCCCTAACTCTACCCAACACCTAAACTTACCATCTACCTCACTAACTATTAATAAGCAGCAAATTAGGAGTTTGTTGAGGAAAAAGTCATAGTTAATGGTTTGTTAATAGCGAGAGTTGGACCTTAAAATAAAGTGTGACTCAAAATATCAAACTAAAATATAGTACATTCCTTTCATTGAAATAAAAAAGGCCTCCACACAAGGAGCACTAGAGGGTTAAGTAAATGTAAGAGATTAATATTTTGATGTATACATATAATTGGGTGTAGTTCTGATAAGATGCGTCTTTTGACATTGAAAGGGGAGTTTTTTGGAGCTGGCAGACAAACCCCATGCAGTCATTCGACTGGCTTCACGATCTAGTGTACTGCCAAAGCATCACGTTTTACATGTTTCATGGTGGTCTTACATTTTTCAGGCGCTCTTAAATGATACAGTAGCACAAAAGCAAGTTGCACATGAAGAATTGAATGTGTTTGTACATGACCAGATCACTGATGTGCTGTTTTACTGCAGTAAGTATATATTAATTAACATTAATATGATTTATGTCCATCAGAGTTGATGTTTCAATCTAACCTTG